TATATAAAAAGTATTTTAGAATATTAATAATAACGATTCACTTTATTCTCTACCAATACTTATTATAATAAACAAGGCAAATGAATTTTGGTTTAATGCGATTTATTATAAAGTTATATAATGTTTTAAAAAAAAGCGTTAAAAAATATAGCTGCTTCTTATTTAAATAAAAAACTTTGAATGTTAATATTTCCATAAACAATTCGTAGTATTAGATATAAGTACATGATTAACTGTAAATGAATACGGGCATGTGATTGAAAAATACTAAGTTCCCTGATTCTTGATATTACACGTTCAATGTGTATTCGTAAGCTTGCTATCCGTATTGCCACTTTTACTTCTGATTTTGAACTTCTATATGCCTCACTAATTGTGCATTTTTGGTTGTGAACTGCTCTTCAAAATGTTTCAATCCTCTATCTGTCATAATTTGTGCTCCATCTTCAACTAGACTTAAGAAATTAGACTCTTCTACAATCATTTTATCAGTGATTCTTCCTCCAAATCCGTTTGAGATAAAGGAAATTAAACCATCTAGAGTGCAACCTATCAAATACTTTATAGTGTTGCAGCCTTTGTATTGAGACCAAGAAAATGACTGGTTAATTGGATTACTTGGTTTTTGAATCGATATTTCGAAACAATCTATTATACATTGTACTCTTCTGTATCTATGTCTAAATGGAATCGGAAGTTGTTGTTGTACATCAAATAAACTTTTCCACTGAACGAAGGGCTTGAGGAATTTAGCTAGTAAAGGAAAACCATTTTGCACTATTGAACATACTTTCGTAACTGACAAACAGAAGTCATCAGCTAATATCCTGTAAGATGTATCAAGTTTAATTTTCTTCAACGTTACAAAAATATCAAGCTTCGCAATTTTGTACTTTTGAGACAACAATTATACTATAAACAAAGAATTGCTAGGAATTCCTGGATACAGTTTTGGGTTTTTCTCAATCAAATATATACTTCTTTTTTTAAGGTATTCTTTCGAATTCTAAATTTGTACAAAACCCTCGGACATATCAATACCTGAGAACGCAGATGTGTCAGATGTTGTATCACCACTCGTGGATGCCATTAAATCTATTGAGGAACCTTTTTGAGATTCAAAGAGAGGCAGAGTTTCACATTTTCGTTTACTTTTATTGCCTTCATTAGTAGTATCTTCTGATCTGCG